ATCTTTCAATTTGCTCTTTAATCATGAATCGAGGCAACAAACGCCTTAGATCTAGTCGAGGAGAGGTCTCATCCTCACAAGCTCTTGGTCCCACTCCTAGAACTCAAAATCCCTCCGTAGAAAATGTAGAATTTTATGAAAATCAGTTGCTTACTCTCGCATTACTCGGGAAGTATCGCGCTCTCTGTCAGTTGAAAATTTTTCCGTGTAGATTCGTAAATTATGAGGAGTGCAAGCATCTTAACGTTAATACTGTTCTTAAAGATGCCAGTTTATTTCATCCTTTCGACACTATAAATGCACCCCCGTATTACCCTCATCATATGCGGTTGTTTTATGCAAACCTTTAAGTCAACTCCGCTGACCCTAATACTCCTTTCATTACATCCGTCGTCAAGGGTCGACAAATTCTTTTTACTGCAAATCAGCTTGCATAAATTCTTAGGATACCTAGGGGAGATACCCTCCTAGGTGATATTGAGTTTGATGATCCTACCATTGACTCTCTTGTTATCCTTCCTGGCAGACATTTCCCTCTAGATTCTCATAACACTACTTTCCTTGCTAAGGTATTAGGGAGAATTCTTAGCTATAACTTAATTCCCAAAACAGGGGGTTATGACCACTACTCCCAAGACCTTTCTAATGCTATCTATGCCATCATTGGCAATAGGGATGTTCTATGGGGGAAAGTTATCTTTGATTTTATTACCTCTACCCATACAAAATTTCTTCCTTATGGAGCCATTCTTACTATCATTTTCAAACATTTCGATGTCGATCTCTCTGGAGAACCATCTATCAAAATATGACCTTTTATTGACGCTGTCGATTTGAATTGCATGGGTATTCCGGATACCCAATATGCTCTTGATGAGCTTCCCTCTCCTGAACCTCTATATCCTGAGCCAACTAGATCAGCTGAGTCTTTTTCTTCTGACTCATCTTATAGGCCTCCTCACCATTCCCCTTCTGCTTCCTCTCATATGCTTAACTTCTTGGCCCGTCGTATAGACAACTTAGAAGAGGGAGTTTATGGGTGCTTGAACGACCTTGAGCGTAGGCAGGAGGAGATTCGTGTTAAGATGATTGGCGGAGTAGATGGCCTGGGGCGTCAGCTTTCTGATATCCTCAATTTGTTGCAGCCATCAACTCCCTCTCCGGGTCCAGGACTATCATCCTCGTGATGCAGATCTTATATTTTTGTTTTTATGTACTTGACTTTTGGTCTGAAAAACATTTTGTTGTAGTAACTTTGATATGTAGTTTGTTTTGTGTTTGTATACACTATGGTTGATATGACACTATTATAGTATGTGTTTTTGGCTTGATATGTGGTGAACATGAGTGAGTTGTTGCAAACTCATAGTTTTGGCTTATATATATATCCATGTTCATTTCCTTTTATCTTTATGAAAATGTGTGGATGTGGTTGTTGTTATATTCATTCTCTATGTATTCTTGTTTCACAACCACCATCTGTTTATATATTGTGACTAACCTTTCTTACAGGCTTTTAAATAGGGGGAGAATCCCTATTTTTTTATATATCTCACATGTGCGCATATGTAGGGGGAGCTTCTAGCTCTCGTTCTGTTATTTTCCTCATTTTTGATGTTGCCAAAAGGGGAGAAAATTGTGAGTATATAGCATTTATTCAAATTGGTTTCTTGACTTTTTATGCATATTGGTAAATTGTTTGTCATCATCAAAAAGGAGAAGATTGTTGGGTCCTCTTGTTTTGATAATGATTTTACAAATAATTTATAACTAATATTGTTTTCAGTATTTTGTTTTGTGTTGTTTAGTATATACAGGAAATCGAGCTAAACAAGACATATTGAAGCTATGCATATCAAGTTAATCAATCCAAGTCCAAGCTTCAGCAGATTCTTTTTTGGTATACTTAGTATAGGATTATATAATGTGTGTTAATTCTATAAGCTCAAATATACATACACATTACATTTGTGAATTTTCATGAAATTAGGTGTTTTTATGAAAAATACATTCAAATATGTTTTGGACTATACAAACTATGTTAACATCTTTTATTATGTCCATAAAAAGATTACACAGTTTTTAGAACTTGATTTGAGCTAAAATGGTAAAAATAACATATTTGAAAAACATGTATTTTAGCACTTTTGAATATTTCTGAGTTTTCACAAATGGTAAGAGCAATTCAAAAAATTCCTTTTACAACATGTTCATATTCATGGTTATAAACTTTTCCCAAAGTTTTACATTTTTTGGAATTTATTTACTATTTTTATTAGAGCCTCAAAACTCATTTTTAAAAATCGTTTCAGCCTGATAACATATTATCAGTCGACTGATCAGTCGACTAAAGAATGTGCATGTAATCTTCAAAAGTTTTTGTTCTTCTCCATTCTCTGCTCGGATGATTGCCGCTTGTGTGAATTCTATTGTTGTGGGTCCCGTGTGTGCTCGAATAAGATAGTTTTAGGATTCTATTGAGTTTCATTTATTGACTCCGCGGTGCAGGTTATCGAGTTTATGGCGCCGCCCCCCCCCCCCTACATCCAAAAAGTCAAAGATGGCGTCGTCATTTACTCATTATGTTATGATCTCTCCTAATAGTGGTGGTCGACTGACCAGTCGACTAATGATCCATCAGTTGATTGATAAAGACAATCAGTCGACTGATGAGCTGTCTGACGCCTATAACAGTCAGCTCATCAGTATACTGATGATTTCTGTCATTCGATTGATAAGCCATAATGGCTATTTTTCCAGCCTTGAGTATTTTAATGTTTTTGCTGGTTTTCATTGGGTTTTGTGCCTTAGTTTTTCTTCCTATATAAACCCCTATTGTTCTTATCAGAATAACTATTTAAGAGGGTTTTAACAAGAGTTTAAAAGATTGTTTAAGTGTTTAAGTTTGAGTTTACAAAGAGGTGGCTTGATCTTTCAATTGAGGAATTCATCCTCAATCTTCTTCATCCTCTATTGTGTTTATAGAGAAGTTTTTCTAACTCTTTTCTCAAGCAATTTATTTTTTATTTTCATATTATTATTATTGCTAGTTTGCGAATTGAGTTAGGTTTTATTTACACTCATTTTATCACACACACCCTATTTGAGCTTGTAGGATTTCATACATCATATATTGGGTTGTGGGTTTGTGATTTGTGAGATTAAGCTTACATTGAATTCTCATCCAATTAGAGAACATTTTATTGTAATTGAGCTTTATTATGATGTTGCACATTGTATTACACTTGTACACCGAGAAAAGTGTGTGGTGAGAGACGGAGTCGGTTCCAAGAGGAGTGGGGTCGGTAGTAAAGTCTAGTGAGAGGTGGTAATTTCGAACACTTGAGGAAGGTGACACGGGCTAGGCCAACACTTAGAGGGTGTGAAGTGTATTTGCAAGTGTGTAAGTTGTAAAGTTTTCGGTGAACTAGAAAATCATATTGTGAGGTGTAAACGTTATTCGGGTGAGCGTAGAAAACCCGGTTGTGATAGTGGAGATCTCCTCGAGGTGAGGAGCGGAGACGTAGGTCGTGGGGAGCGAACTCCGTGATCATATCTTGTGTTTGCGTTCGTCTTTTGCGCACTATCACTTATGTTTATTTACTCTTGTTCATATATCCTTGCATATATCAAATTGAATATCAAGATTGTTAGAATATATGTGTTAATAACTTTTAATCAGTATTAATATCTAATAATATTAGCAATAACCCTATTCACCCCCTCTAGGGTACTTTCATATATAACATGTAGTTGCAAAATGGATTGAGATACGAAATGAAATTTTCATGATTGTTAAATAATAGAGTACAAGGCTCAGATTAAGGTCATAATATTAGTATACAATACCTCACCTAAATATTGTAATTGCGTTATAGATTGTACACAGATAACAGTTGCCTCATCTAAAAATTGCATGTGCAATTTGGATTGGATTCTCATCATGGTCTGCCTCATCTATATAATAAAATCATAATATAGATTGTATTAACTAAATTGACCAATCATCATTGCCAAATGGAAAAAAACTAAATATCATGTGAAAATCAAAGTGTATCCAAGATCTTTTCGCTTCATAGAGATGACAAAGTCCAATTTAGATGCTTAGATAAGGAACCAAAGTTTGAAAGATAGTCATATCAATAGACACTATGTCTGTAGGTTACTATCTTTATGACTTGTCTCATAAGAATACATAGACAAAATATCTTGCATTTACAAGCTAATAACCAAAACATAATAAAGACCGATCATGAGTCATCATACTAGTTAAATGCATGAATCTGAGATAAGCGAATCAATTCAGTAAGCATTTACAATAGTGACATAACCTCATTATAAACAAAGAATAATTGATCATGTAACAAGTATACATTGAGCCGAAAACTACTATAATCTGAGCATAAATTGAAGATGAAAAATGCCCATAGTTTGAAATAGAAACTGCTCAAAATTAGAGCTGAAATATGCTCATATTCTGCTCATAATATGAGCTCAAAACCTACGCAGGCGAGCGCTGGCGAAGTCGACGGCGAACCCCCCAGGCGAGTTCGAGCCCCGCAGTCGAAGACGCGACCCTCGAGCGAGACGCGACCCTCAAGCGAGACGCGACCTTCGAACGCGCACCTGACCCTCGCGTTGCTCAAGCACGAAGAACGCGACCCTCGGCATTTGTTGACTCCGACCATCGCGTCTGCCTCCCACCTCCGCGTCCGAGCGGATTCGCTGGCGACAGGTTGTCGCCAGCCTGTCCAAATCCCACCTATTTAAACCCCCAATGCCCTAGGGTTTTGTGTGCCGAAACTTCTCCTCCCCGACATTCTCTCTGGCGGCGGAAGAAATCAACGCAGCAGCGTTCTAAAGCCCTAAAATCACAGCAGTGATTTTCTAATTAATCCCCAGCTTTTCAACGGTGGTTGATGGGGTATTTAAGGAGAGAGAGAGAGAAAAGAGAAGTGGGGTTTTATTGTGGACATTCACTTATTCTCAAGTGATAAATGGAAAGGGTTTATTCCCTTTAATCATTAACACTGTTGCTACAGTGTTCATCTGAGAAATCCCAGTTTAGGGATTTGCTCCTAAATTTGTAATTTCTTGTTTGATTAAATAAGAAATTATCTGTGTGGCTCCCGAGGACGTAGGCAGTTGCCGAACCTCGTTAAACTTGGTGTATTGTTCTCTATTTTGCGTTTCCGTTGCATTAGGGGTTTTCTGCGTGAAATTCCCAACAAGAAAAACCCCTAATTAAAATATTACTTGGTTCAACGAGAGTCACCATCAGTGAGGGAAAATTATCAAGTGCATCCGGACCCGCGACATTAAAATTCTCCAAATGAATGTTAGCCCTTGAACCATTGAATATCGGGAGTCGTGCACAGACGATCCAAGTGTTGACATCCATTCAGTGCACATTTGCAAGACTATTGTAATTGTTTGCTCCCACGACTACTATTTAGACAATGTTATCCTATCAACCATGATCTAGCAGAATACTTATGCACCCTTTTTCCTCCTATGAAACTACTTTGGCCAGATTACATGGCTTTTCCTTGTGCAAATTCTCAAACATTCTTCACAAGGAACACCAATTATCACCCAACAAAGTTTACCATCACAATCACTACAAACATAAAAGGTATAGTTGAAATTGCTCAAGGGGTTGTCTGCTTCCATGGGATCTCCAGATTCTATCGAAAATGCAAGTCCCACACTATGGATTTTGTCATACCTGAAATCATCTTCCAAAACTTTTTCTATTTTGAGAAAAGGTGTTTCAGTGGGAAGTGGTTGGGATTTGCATACTTCCAGATTTCCTAAAAAAAATTATTTTTTTGGATTTCCAAAACATAATTTGTCATCACAACATCCACAAAAGAAATTTATTTCCGGCTCTATAACAAACAGGCTGACTCTATTCTATGTTCATTTCATCTTGCACTCTAATACAGGACATGTTTATAGCGGGAACAGATACAACCTCTGCAACACTGGAATGGGTTATGACGGAGCTCGCCCTCCACCCTCGGGTCCTCAAAAAAGCACAAGAAGAGATGAGGCAAATTGCCGGAAACAAAGGCAAAGTTGAAGAAAACGACATCCATCAGTTTCGATACATAAGATCAGTAATCAAAGAAACGCTAAGGCTCCACCCTCCACTTCCCCTCCTAGTCCCTCGAGAATCCATGGAAGACTGTGTCGTCAATGGCTTTGATATCCCAGCCAAGACTCGGGTTTTTGTCAACATATATGCAATAGGGAGAGATCCTGAAATATGGCAGCAACCTTTAGAGTTCAACCCAGAAAGATTCGAAGGCACCGAGACCGATGTTAAGGGCCAGGACTTCGAGTTGTTGCCATTTGGGGGAGGCAGAAGAGGATGTCCTGGTAATTCATTTGCAATGGCTACTGTAGAGACTGCGTTGGCTAGGCTGTTGTACCATTTCGATTGGAAGTTACAAGATGGTGTAGATGCTGGGGATGTCGACATGAGTGAGGTTTTTGGACTCACCACGAAGAAGAGGACTCCTCTAATTCTTGTGGCAACGAGAAACCAGGAGTTTGGGTTTAAAGCTTAAGAAGCAAACGAGCTTTTGCTCGAAGATATCGTCCGCGTATTTGAAGGTTTGTTTGCAGGATTTAAGTTAGATATTAGTATGGGCTTCTATGTTATCTCTTGTCTATGATATCTACAGAACACACAACTGTAAGTGTCGGAATGCCCGACGTGTATATTTTTTTAAAAAGAATTCAAAGTGGTGCTAGTATCCATCAGAGGAGTAATAATATTTGAGTAGCCCAATCTCTTCTTGACCAAGTCGTGTCACCAATCTCAAGAAGAGTAGTATTACTCTTAAAATATTTACTCCTTAGATACATATTAGTATCACTTTGTTTGTGAAATAAAAATTGTGAGGTGCATGTTTTTAAAATTTCTTTCTTTCTATTAATTACTCTTTTAATATTAATAGAAAGCAAAGAATTAAATATACATTATAAATCAAATACAGAAAGATATTGATTTTATTATCTTTCTAATGTATTACAAAATTTAAGAGAAAGAAGATGGGATCTTAGGTCTCCAGACAATGTTCTGGAGCCCTCCACCCTTTCCAAATAAAAAAGATATAGAGGACCTTGTCTTTGTTGTTTAAGACTCCAAGTCTCTCTTTTTTTCAATCTCTCCACATTTTCTCTATCTTTTCTGTCGTTCTTTTGTTATCGTCCCTCCCCGAATGGCAAATGAGGTCTCAATTTATAGGAAGACAAAGGAAAGTTATCACCAGGTGTTTGAAAGGGATTGGTGGGGGAGTCCTTATTGAAACTTATTTATCAAGATTGTTGCATTTGTTTATCATAACGAACATTTCCTTTGCCTTTCACTTCTAATTTATCTATCAGCTTATCTTTTTTTATTTCTTAAAATAGGTGTTATGTGGAGCTCATATACCTTCAAGCTGAAATTAGGTGTGTAGGGGGAGTATCATCGAGTTAGATTTTATTGCTAAGGCTTACGATCACATGATAACACTAATATATTGAAATTGACATGCACCCTCAAGTTTGAGAATTTGGTTAATATGAAAGGGTGAGGCATGTGTTTTTGTATTGGATTAATAGAGGGTACATGTACTCTCAAACTTACATGAGGTGCTATCATCGTCACATTGGTTTTGATTTATGTGAGGTACTATCCCTCACATTGGTTTTGATCTATACGAGGTACTATCATCCTCATAATAGGTTTCATTGACAGGACTTGTTGAGCTCATCAAATTTGACAACTACAAGGGGAAGGCATGCCTCTCTGAATTAATTAATATAGAAAGCCTACCTTCAAGGTAACTTGTATATGAGCTGTAAGCATCCTCAAATTAATTTCACTTTCAAAGCTTATCAAAAGGTATTAAACCCTTTATGGCTTGTCATGATTTTTTTTATTTTTTATTTTTTATTTTTTATTTTTTTGCATCTACAACAACCAAGTTAAAGTCCTATGAAATTATAATGTGAAATAAGAGGCAATAAGAAAGGGATTATATAGATAAAAAAGAAATAACCAACAGTTTCATTCAGGTGGTTAATATAGACAAAAATTTACACCTGTTTGGTTGTATCACTTACAAATCTCAAGGGACCATCAAAATATAATGCAGAAAACATGCTCAAGAACCATGTTCAGCTTAATGTCCTTAAATCTCCGTCATCAGCTTTTAACCCTACAATAACAACAAATTGCTCCTTAAGAGTGAATTCCATGAGACTGTACTCTAAGAGGATCTGTGAAATCTAGCGTGATTTCATTTGCTTATATGTAAACGACGTTCAAATTGCAGAAATGAGAATGTCTTTAGTTATACGTGACTGAAATATAGACGAATTTGGTGATAAATGAGACCATTTCCATTTAAATCCTAGGAACTCACTCAGATTTAGTTTCTACCGATCCCTCAGTTCCCACTGTATTCAGTTCCGTGATCTTTCCAAATGATTCTTTGGCTTCACCGAAGAAGTCCTTCACTTTATCAAGAACAGTTTTTAGCTCTTCTTGAGGAGGAAGCTGAAATACGTAAATGTTGATGGAAGTTAATGCTCAACAAATCTCATCAAATTTGAAAAAATGATAACTATAGTGTTAGTAATAACATAAAGGCATATTTGATTCCGGAAGAGGTAAACGGTAAAAATAATATTCTGGCATCCAATTGATTAAGACAGTGTGTACTTGATTAGCTTAATAAGATAACTTACTCGGCAGTATAAATGAAATAGAACATATCTGCTCTATGATTAGAATGGTAAGCTCCCACAGAGTACTAAATTCTTTTCAACTAAGGTAGAAAGAATAAGTACAATACCTCAATAACATCAGTTGGCGAGAGTGCTGATCTCACATTGTTGTTTTCCTGCATGAAATTTGCTACAAAATTATCACACAAATTCCCCCCCTCCATTTTAACAGAAAGCAAAACCAATAACTTCATATTAATCTAGGGTGAGAGGAGACATTACAACAAGTTTGTAGCCATATTTAAATCCCTTAGCTGACCGCAATACTCGATATTGCTTCATTGCTGACTTCTGTATCTCCTTTTCATCCTGTTAAAAGTACATTAACAGATAAACTCACTAAGAAGCTGATAACTGAGCAATAAAGGCAACCATGAACCCCTGACTGCGTAATGCAGAATGGGAAAGAACAAGATGAATACGCAAACTATAAAAATTTAATCTTCAAACACAACATGCTACCCATATGAATGTTACAAAGTGAACCAAACTGCACATACCAACAATATATACTGCCCCAAACTGCACATACAACATGCTACCCATATGAATGTTCGATTCGGCGATATTATTTACAGGGTTCTATCCGCAGTTAACCCAACAACAACAACATACGTCAAATAAGAAGAATAGGCAGTGAATGAAGTTACTCTGTAGATAACAGCTGCAAGGTTCCTGGCAATTGTGTCTTTGTATATATATTTTCCAAGAAAATTGTCTTTCGCGGCAACCATGATCTTCGCAGTTGTGCCGCCAGTTATCAGACTCAGTGGATACCAAAGATACACCTGCAATTAAGCCCAACCAGACATTTTCCTCAATACTGATATTAGCCACTATACACCCATAAAATTTTCAATGTACCAAATTTTGCATAAATCATTCCTCATCCAGTTCAAATAAAGATACCCAAGTAAACCAACAGGACCCAAAATCAAGGGCGACCCGTATCGAAGAAAAGGCCAAGAACCACGAATTACATTGGCGGTTCGAATAAAGATGACGAATTTGGGGTTGCCATCGGTCCCGAATCTCGGAAGCGGCGGCGGCTGCCGCCGCCGAAACTGACGAGAACTGCATGGCCTTTCTTTCCCTTGGCCTCCACCACCATCGCCGGCCTCTTCGCCATTTTCTCACGGGGAACGGCTCCTCCGGTCCTAGGAACGAAGGACGAGGGCCTGAGGATGGAGAGATCTTCGTGGGTTTTCAAGGGATTTGAGAGAGGAGGCCGAGACAAGGAGCCTATTGACATGGTTACCTCCATTTTTGGTCTTTGGAAAAATAATGGGACGAGAAAAGAAGCAGAGCTGTGTTTAGTTTGCTTGTGAGTGAGCCTCTCTTATCCACGATTTTATCTCATCAGTGGATTTTGTGCTTTTTGTGTGTATGCGTGGAAATTAGTGGGTCTCAATTTTTTTAGGGTTAATATGTTCTTTTTTTTTAAATAGGAAAAGCATGGGCCTCAATTTATTGATTGTGAAGAAAGTTGAACTGTTTTTTTAGGAAAAAATTTTAAAAACACCGTCTTTTTCAAATTTAACTAGCAAAACCGACCTTCTAAAAATAAAAACAGCAAAATCGACCCTTTTGATCGATTTTGCGCAGCGGTGGAAAAAAAGAAAATGGACGGGGCTGCTATTCCCGTCGCATTTAATTGTAAACGCGTTACTGGTTCTCACTTTCGTCCCACTTTTCGCGCCGCTTCATGGGGCACCGTTGCGATCTCGTCGTGGCCGGCGCCGTCTCCATCCACCCCTCGTCTCAATCACCGTCCTACGCTGCTCCTCGTTCGATTTTCGCCGGCTTCAGCCTTGCGTCCTTCGTCTCCTGCCAGTTCTGGATGAGCTCCATGTTCTTGTCGACCAAGGTGGCACCGACCACTTCCTTAAAAATGTTACATGCAGCAATCTCCGGTCCTCTACTCTGACCCATTAATTTCGAGAACCCGTCGGAAGAAATGAGATTTCTTTTATTCGATCCGTCGGGGATTTAGGTGAGGGTTCGGGCGACGAGGGAGGAGACGGAGTCGAGGCCGGAGCCGACGAGGGAGGCGAGGAGGGAGGAGGTGCCGGAGAGGGACTCGCGGCACGTGTCCTGGTTGCCGAGGGAGGCGGAGAGGAGAGGCGGAGGTCACCACCGGAAGAGGCGTCGCAGTGGGAGAAGGAGGAGATGGTGGAGACCAGAGTTTGGATGGCGGAGATGGTGGAGACCATGGTTTCTTTTAGCCCCCCCATTGCAAAATCGACCAAAGGGGTCGATTTTGCAGTTTTAATTTTTAGAAGGTCGGTTTTGCTAGTTAAATTTGAAAAATTGGTGTTTTTAAAAATTTGTCCTTTTTTTATTACTTTTATGCAACTATAGATGATCAAGCCACAAGTCTACGAAATACAAGTCTACGAAATTGAAGCGTATCTCACTTTTCAAGTAGCAAGTCAACCGTTTTGATCAGTAAGAGGTTATCAAATATTTGATTAGAGGAGTCGCGAGTCCATTCCATGGTTATATGAATGCCATATTTCCCCAAAAGTCTCCTTTTATTAGGCATTAAATTATTCCCCAAGAGAAACTGTTAACAGTACCATTACTTAAAAGGATCCCCTTTTCTTTATGTGGGCTTCCATTTTAGAATTTCTAAAACACCTTCATGTTTGGAAGAACAAAGATAAGTGCCTTCTTCGTCGAAAAAATTCGACAGAGACGCCCATGCTCCCGGTAAAATCAACAGAAATATCTCAAACACGGAGGAAAAACTCACAAACAGCCTCTTCTCTGGACTGCAACAAGTCTTGAGATCTTGTGTCACGAACGCGTCGCGTGCAAGGGAATACTAGTTTGTTGTTAAAAGAAAAATTGGCATCCCAGCAAGGATAACAAATGGATCCTAGAATGCGAGGCACCTATCCTCAACACATGAAGAAATGTTTCATCACTGTAACAGTTTCAGTAACAGGTCAAACTAATTAGCTAAGGGTTAATGTGCACAGAGGAAGGTAACCTGCACATGGAAAGGTATATATAGCATCCAGGAGAACCAAAAAAAATGAAAAAAATGAAAAAAAATGTAAAGGCTATCATTTGGATCAACACCATCATAAGGCACTCTGGAAAGTTTACATTATTCATAGCATACACATACTTAGAGGGTAAATAAGGGCATCACCAACCCTACTACTTCACATACTACATGAAATGCATGTCTCACGTAATCCTATTTTGAGCCACGATTTACGGGCACAAGGTAAAGAGTAGATCTCTTGTGCACAGTAAACCCTGCTGTATCGTCCATTTCGACATCCTCTCTCTTCATCCCTTCAGGCAACTCCCAGTCGAATAAGTACAGCATATTAGCAAGCGCAAGCTCGATGACCGCCACCCCCGTGCTCATCGCGGGGCAAATTCTTCGTCCCGAGCCGAAAGGAATGAATTGAAAATCGTGGCCTTTGAAGTCGACCGAGCTATTCGTAAATCTTTCGGGTATGAACTCTTCTGCACTCTGCCATGTCTTAGGGTCCCTTCCAATCCCCCAGGCATTAACATATACGAGCATATTTGGCAATATATCATACTCTTCGACCTTACAGTGTCGAATTGTCTCTCTCGGGAGAAGTGGAACAGGAGAATGCAGCCTGAGAGTCTCCTTCACCACTGCTTTCAGGTATTGGAGCTGATGAAGGTCTCCTTCTTCGACCTTTCCTTTCGATCCTAGGAAGGCCCTAACTTCATCTTGTGTTTTCTTCATTGCCCTTGGATTCCTTACAAGCTCGGCCATGGCCCAGACTATGGTTGCAGAGGATGTTTCACTTCCACCAATGAAGATATCCTAACAAAACCCGTAGAAATATAGAGCTTAGGTAATAAATAAGGACGAGATGAAAGTTTGCGAAGAGCTCAGTTCATGAGATTTTTTATTTTGAACCTTTTACCTCGGCGAAATGTTGGAAGATATTGGCATGGGTGAAATTAGCGAGTCTATCTGAGGGTAAAATGAGTTGAGATAACTAATTCACGGGGTTTATCTGCAGCAATGAAACTACAGGGATAGTAACTTCAAAATATCGATATTAAGGGGCCCTATATACTTTTTACTGAGAGCTGAACACTATCATGATTGGTCCCAAATGTTCCTTCAGGATCGATTGATCTGGATACCAAATGTTTATTTATTTTTCATATTTTGCCTAAATTAAAAAAAGTAATTAGATCCAAGGCTAATTCAATTAGGCCTAATGGGCACGGAGGGAACGAACACGATCAAGGCAAAATTCATTCACTGTGAAGATAGAGAGATTTCAATACCGTAAGGACTGCCTTGATGTTTTCCTTGGCGATACGGCCTTCCTCCTTCTGCACACGAAGCAAAACATCGACGAGGTCTTCGTGTTCAGGTCTAACCCTTTCAGGATCAAGGTGATGCCTTATAACTTCCTCATAAAATGCGTCAAGCTCGCCTGCATTCTTCTCGAGCCTACGAGTTCTTCCGCTCAATCTATCGATAAAGCCCAACCCTGGAAAAAAATCGCCAACAAAAGAATCTCCCAGCAACTGATCAGCTTCCTTAAGAATTTCATGAGCCTGACCCTTCTCATACTCTCCATCTTTGTACGTCTCACCGACAGAAATCCTGCAGACAACATTGTTTGCAAGACTGACCGCGGCCTTATGCAGGTTGACAGGCTTCGACGAAGAACGTGAAATGGACTGAATCATTAGAGACACCTCCTCTTCTCTTACTCCGCGAAATGATTCCGCCCTCTTGGCACTGAAAAGCTCGAGCACGCATGTTTTCCTCATCTCCCTCCAGTACTCGCCGTAGGGTGAAAAACTGATATCAGAGGAATTGTACGAGTATTTGTTGGGAGCAATGAGATGGGGTCGAGAGCAGAAATCAAGGTCGTGAGTCTTCATTACTTCTTTAGCCATTTCGGCGGACGAAATGATAAGAGTTGGCCTGAGACCAAGCTGTAGCTGCATCAAAGGTCCATGTTTTTGGGAGAGTAGCCAAAGCGAACGGTGAGGAATCGAACCTAACTGATGGAGGTTGCCAATTATGGGGAGCTTTTTCGGTCCGGGAGGGAGTTTATGTTTCTGCTTTCCTTTGTGGATGAGGAGGAGAAGAAGAGGAGCAGATGCAAGAGGGATGAAGATTAGCCATAATGACATTGCAGAGATGGTCATTTCTGAGGAAGAGTAAAGGGAGAGAGGAGAAGTGAGGTTCATCCTTGACTAACTGCAGTAGTTAGTTTCCACCATTAATGAGGGTGTATATGTCTACTTATATAAACATTCATTGAGCATCAAATTGTTGACAAGTCCATAGTTAGGAACCAAGCATGATTTTTATTTAAATTTTTATATATCAATATATATATCCTCAACTGAGTATCTTTACAACCACTCATTTAATATAACTACTACTGCTCCTATTTCTAGCTGAAGTTTGAACATTAAGGGGTTACAAGTGAGTAATTCTTTCTGAGGAAGGGTAAAGGGAGAGAGGAGAAGAGATGTTCATCCTTGACTGAGTACAATGGTTTCGTCATTGCTGAGTTATATGTTTCTTTGACTAATCCTTTCGATTAGCAAAGGATTAGTCAAAGGGACCAAGTCAGAGAAGACTAATCCATTCAAGCAAAGGATTAATCAAAGGAACCAAGAGGTGCATGTTTCTTTGACTAGTCCCTTCACGCAAAGGATTAGTCAAAGGAACTAAAAGTCAGAGAAAACATCTCTTAAATAAAATCAAGACTAGAAAAATTAATCACAAAGAGGAAAAATCAAAGCAAGTAAAATATGGAGGAAATCAAGAGAGAAGACAAAACTTTAAAAGGTGGAGAAATATTTTTTTTATCAATTATAAATAATGTTTATAATTTTTGAAGATCTTTTCAATTAAGAGTAACATTCATCTCTAAATGGAGTTTTTACAAAAATTCTTACAATCAAACCCCTCGCTGTCTATCCTATTTATAGCCTTAAAGCAAGCGAAAAGAGCCCTTATATATGTTAGCCTTGGGCTCCAAGAAATAAATCTCAATAGTTTACTGTTCAGTTATATATCAATCGGTTGACCAATTGGTTAACCAATATGCAAAATCAATAGAAATATCTCAAGCTTAGAGAAAAACTCATAATCTGTCTCTTATTTAGAGAATTAGACTACAACGTTTCCTGAGATCTTGTGTCACGAACGTGTCCCGTACATGGGAATGCTAGTTTGTTATTAAAAGAAAATTGACATCCCAACAAGCAGAGGCGTAGCTGTGCACGGCTTGCCTTGGACAGCTGTTCAGGACAAGAAAATGAATAAATTTTAATACCCCTCTGAGCCCTCTCTCGCCCTCGCCCGCGACCTTGTTGGAACGTGGATCCAAGAGCTTCGCCGATGCAATCCTGAACTCCCAAGCTCATCTGACGGACCGCCGCCGACCAAATCTTCGTTCGTTCGCCGACGTCCCCTCGCCTCCAGAGCATACCCGTTGACCGTCGAGCCATCGACGCCGCGTTGTACGACCGCCCCGACCAATCATCATCGTCGCCGACTCACCGACTCCTCCTCGCGACCTCCTCTAGGCCGCCGCAGTCAAAGAACCACCATTGACTGAATCCGGCTCGCTCTCGCCTCCCAGAGCAAGCCCTCAACGCTCGAGCCTTAACGCGCCCGACGACCGCCCAACCAAATCCTTGACGTCGTCGACTCGCCAACGTCCTCCTTGCCTCCCAGCATCGCGTCAACAACCACCTCGACTTGTACGCCCTCGACCCTCCTCCAGCTCCCTCATCCTCCCCCAAACCCTAGCCCTAACGATTCAAACAACTAATTACTCAAATGCCACTAACGAATAGATCTATTTTGAAATTGATGGTTCCTTCATTAACCCGATTGACTAATGGACCCGGTTAATTATTTTAGTTTATAGACTAAGATGTTATCTAGGTAGTCATTAGCAATTTTGATATCCTAATCATAATCTTTTAATATGCTTCTTAATGCATGCAATCTTTTAATATCCTAATCACAATCTATTAATTTTTGAAGCTAAAATGTCTGGAAAGGAAATGAAAACTTTATTTTCATTTTATTCCAAAAAAGACATTATTGGAGCCTCAAGCGAGGCACTGCCTATGGAGCCAACGGTTGATGATAAAGAAGAAGAGCAACATCATCCTAAAATTCAAAAGGTTAAGGATACCGTATCTTATAATCCAGGATTACGTCAAGCAATATGGAAATATCCATATGAAGAACAAGATGAGGTTCGACGTCATTACATAGCAATAGGGCCATGCTAACCAAACCTCCGAGAATATCCAAGAAATGAAGATGGACGTAGCTTTCGACATGATTGGTTCAAGACTTATGCTTGGTTAGAATATTCTGAAATAACTGATCATGCCTATTGATTTCCTTGTTTCCTTTTTTAGAGCAATTCCTCCCAACAACATAAACAAGAAGCTTGGACTTCGAAATGATTTAATAGTTGGAAGAGAGCTGGAGGAAAAGATAGTCATTTTCGAGTGCATGAAGGAGAAACAGGATCAATACATTCAAAAAATGTTTTAATGCTTGATGCTTTGAAAAAACTATCTCAAAACATTAAGAAACATTTGACCTTACAAGATGAAGATGAAATAAAGAAAAATCGTCTGCGTGTTGTCACTACAGTTAATCCTATTCATTGGCTAGCATGTCAAGGATGTGCTCTTCGAGGGCATGACGAATCTCATGATTCAGCAAATCGTTGAAACTTTATTGGATTGCTCAAATATATGCAACTCTTAATTGTTGCGCGCAGCGGAAATATCGGCAACACTTCGGCAGCACTTCGGCAGCACAACAAGAGAGTCAAGTCGCAATAAGAATTCTTGTTTCTCAAAGGGAACAAGAATCTGAAGCCTAATATCTCATCAAAGTGAGATATTAGCTCTTCCTCTCGTCAGCTCTAGGACTGCGCGTCGAGGGAACCTAAAAGCTATTACAAATCACACAAATAATAGTACAACCAATTTTACGTGGTTTGGCAAATTGCCTACGTCCACGGGGCAAGGAGGGGGGAGATCCACTAATAGAGGGAGAGAATACAACTAGGGTTTACAATCACTCAATCTAAACCCTCAAACAAACTCTCAAATCTCTCACAAATACCTCTCAAAGGGATGCACAAAACCCTAAAAGAGACTACACAAAATCTCCTTCACTGCAGCTACTATTTTTCTTCCTGCAGTTGCCAAACAATTCTGCATGCACAATGCGGACAGCCAAAAATTTTTCTCCGAAAAAACTCCTCGCGCTCTGTACTGCACGCCGAAAAAAATCCCCAGCCAAAATAACAAAACCTTGCACACCATCCTAGGGAGAAATCGCATGCCAAAATAACAAAACCTCGCGCTCTGTAGCTGCTTGCTTTTCGGGTGGGCCTGCACGTCGATCTCAACATCCGCAAGAAGTCCGGTTTCTTCGTTTCTTCACACACGTGGGTTGGCCCCACCACACACACGTCTCATTCATAATTCTCCACCTCGACGAAGTTTTTTCAAAACTGAGCCGACACCAAAGAAACCAAATGTTCCACTTGTTGTGTCCAGTACGAACTCAATCCACAACAAGTTGAGAACCCGAACGAGAGTCCAAACAATCTCACCCCCATCAAAATTAACTAATCCAAACCGGCTGCATCAAATATGACTGCCTACGTATCCTCTTGCCCAAGGAATCAAGCCGAACGTAGTTCACCCAAATGGCCGCCAACGGCCTCAACAATCACGAATATGCAACAAGTTTCAACAATAATCAAACTTGTTGCTCGGAACCACCTTAGTGAGTATATCCGCCGGATTATCCTTCGTGTGGACTTTTATAATCTCCACATCGCTATTGTAGGCGTCAAAAAAAATACTGAGAGATATCCGAATACAGCTCAAAAAGGCAGAAGAACACAAGTATGGGCTGTCTCGCACGTGAGACAGTCTTTACTGTCTCGCACGCGAGACAGTCTTTACTATCTCGCAGGCAAGACAGTATTCTCTGTCTCGCCATGCGAGATAGTGTTCTCTGTCTCGCCAGGCGACACAGTTGTTACTATCTCGCAGGCGAGACAGTGTTCTCTGTCTCGCCATGCGAGACAGCATTCTCTGTCTCGCCCACGAGATAGTTCTCAAATGCTCAAAAACTGTTTTATAAACCGCCGACATGTGACCACCAACTGTTCAAGAACGTGGGAAACGTTGTGGGCGAGAATCACGTGGATAACTGTCAAAATAACGGAGTTTGAAACGTGGGAAGGCAGTTATTGTAGAAACCACTGTGCAGTTAGGATTTCCGAGACAGTGTTTACTGTCTCGGAGCAAACACTGTCTCGACAGCCGAGACAGCAAATGCTGTCTCGCGAGCTTATTTTCCTCTAACTGTTCATAGGGGTTATAAATAATCCCCTGAGGTCGATTTTTGAAAGGGGCTGATCATTTTGTATACTTTGGAGCAGAGAGATAGCAGAGTTCCTGAGCTTCTGGTCATTCCTTGAGATTCGAGCTTTGACTTGATCTTAAGAAGAACGACTATCTTACTTTGATAAGGTATCGTTTTAAATTCTCACTTCGATAAACGAAGGAAGAATCATTAAACCCCTCACGATTCAATCAGAATCTGTGATTTGGTGGTCCACGAGTTAAAGCGCTCCCGGCACAGGCAAAGATCCCACGCAAGCAGCGATCCAAACAACGATCCTGCGTTTGTTTCTAAAAAGTTGTAATTTTTTTTTTGTGTAAAAGGAGTCTTATAAAAAGACTATCTCTTTTGAATTTGTTGTAATCGACCGAAAATATAATAAATTCCACAACGAAGTCAACTTTTGACGAAAACAAACTGGCGACCACAGTGGGAGCCAACGGTCTCGCTGCCGAGACCGTCGTGTCGCAGCCAACCATCAAGATCCCGGTTGAATCAACGGTCGAGTACGAGTTCGACCAAGAGAAGTTTGAGGAGTATTCGTCGTCTTTATCTGTAAAGTCTTCCCCGCCTCGCAAATGCAGGAAGACTTCATCTTTGTTGAAGTTGTCAAACACTACAGATGAAGACTCTCGCTTAATTATTGCTGAGGATTCTACTCGCAACCTATCTGCTCATAATGACTCTTCTTCAATTAAGGAGTCATTAAATCAAAGCCCGTCGGCATTGACGAAGAGGGCTCGTCAGAGACAACGTCAGCGCCACGCTCGCCAAATGGCTAAAGCCTTGGAACAACCCGACGGAGTTCGTTATCATGCGGACTTAG